TACCAATCAGTCATATGTTAGAAATAGAATAGAATTCTAGAAGGAAAGTATTTGCTATGTAGTCCTTAAGTCTTTTTTAAAATTACCTTTCAATTATAGTTGACATTCAATATTATATTAGTTTTAGCTGTACAGCATCATGCTTAGATATTTATGTAACTTATAAAGTGATCCCCTGATAAGTCTAGTACCCACCTGACACCATACATAGTTATTAAAATACTAGAGGCCTGGTGCACGAAATTTGTGCATTGGCGGCGGGGGGGGGGGGGGGTCCCTCTTCCTGGCCTGCACCCTCTCCAGTCCAGGACCATTCACCTGCCTGCCTGCCTAATCGCCCTAACCACTCTGCCTGCCTGCCTGATCGTCCCTAACCCCTCTGTCTGCTGGCCTGATCGCCCCTAACTGCCCTCCCCTGCCGGCCTGATTGCACCTAACTGCCCTCCCCTGCCAGCCTGATCGCCTCTAACTGTTCCCCTGCCGGCCTGATTGCCCCTAACCGCCTCTGCCTTGGCCCCTGCCACCGTGGCTTTGTCTGGAAGGAGGACCGGATGACCGGAAGATGTCCGGTTGACCGGGTTTAATTAGCGTATTACCCTTTTATTAGTATAGCTAATTGACAATATTCCCTATGCTGTACTAGTCCTTATGTCTTAATTCAGATCCTGGTCATGATTAAATATAGGATATAGGCTCATGCATCTGTATGAAGAATTGGCCACAGTGAAATTCCAAGTAACATAAGCTCTTATTTCAGACTCAAAATAAAAATAATTTAAATAGGTCATAAGAGCAAGCATCATACACTGAAATATTTATATACATGAGCTATCTCATAGAACTAGTTTCATACCTAACCTGGCATGATTGTGATGTGATAACATGGTTTCTGTTCATTCATAACATTTTCAGGTAACCATGGATGGTTAGGTTGGATATAGAGGAGAATGTTAGTAAGGTCAAAGGCCATGATTATGGGTTTATTTTTTTAGTAGACAATCACTTTTTCCCCCTGATTTCATAACCACAAACTTCACCAGCAGTCTCACCAGATGCACGGCATTAGTTATAATTGACATATTGATTGATTTTGAACTTTCCTTGTATATGAAGACCTAGATGAAGGAGGTTGATGTAATCATGGCAAGAGACCATTAGTACTGAAAGAAATACAATTTCTGTTCCATTACCAAAAACCAATGGTGAATCTGTAAGAATGTTATTTATAAAGGACAGAATTATTTAAGAGAAAGGATGGGGGAATTCCTAACATTGGAATTTGGGCATATGATGATAACCAAGACTGATAGTTGAAGAAAATGTGAATATGCTGTAAGCACAACTAAGGATATTTTTAGCATTGAGGCACTTTTCTATGTTGAATTTTTAGTATAATAATTTTAGGACAGTTCTCATGAACAAATAAGAAAATTAAATTTAAGATATTTATTTGTTTACCCAGGGAATCTTGTAGAGAGATTTCATGATTGTAATTCATATTAGTTCTTTGTGTATCCATATTAAGTGTGCAGAATGTTAAGTTTTGTAAAGTACAAAGCTGAATAAGATTGTTTTTTGCTGTAGAGAATTTAAGCTAATTCATTTAGTAAACAAGTAACTCAGCAAGCTACATGTAAAAAATTCTTTGCTAGATATTAGGATTATAATAATGATTATGCCCTTTTCATTTATGCATTTATTCAGTATTTATTGAGTGTCTACCATGTGTCAGGTTCTGTTCTAGTTTTAAGCAGTACAACAGTGAACAAAACAAAGTTCCTACTCCAGTGAAACTAACATTCTAGTGGAAGAAGAAAAAAATACATAATTATATACTACTCGAGGCCCAGTGCATGGATTCGTGCACTGGTGAAGGGCGTGGCCTTCGGGGATGGGCTGCTGTGGGAGCGCTGCTCAGCCGCTCATCCCAGTCAGCTGAACGGCTGTGGACCCGCCCTCTGAGCGGCTGCTCCTGCTGTGGGAGCACCACTCATCCAGGTCAGCCAAATGGCACTCCCATTGTGGGAGCACACTGACCACCAGGGAGCAGCTCCTGCATTGAGCTTCTGCCCTCTGGTGGTCAGTTCGCATCATAGCGACTGCTCGACTTATCATTCTGGTTGTTCCACCATTTTGTCATTGGGCTTTTATATATATAGATGTTATGTGATGATTGTTGTGATGAAAAATAAAGCAGGGGAAAGAGTACTGGCATAGGGGATGGATGTTGTTGTTTTCTAGGAATATCATGGAAGTCTTCTGATGAAGTGACTTTTGAACAGAGTCCTAAATGTAGTTTTCTAGGCAGAGAAAAGAGCCAAGTGTGGAACTCACAGGTCTGTTAGGCAGATTGGCGATTGGGCTGTAAGTGTTGAGATTTGGGGTAAAGGTGAGTGAGAGGTCTTTCCACCTCCTTAGTCAGGAAGACGGAGGTACAGGGGCAATGTCCTTAGAAACATGTGGAGCTCCTTTCTGCAGTTCTGCCTGATAGAAGGATGCAGTGACAATCAGATGGAATATCCCTTTTTCTGCCTGGCTGGGATATAGTATCCCTTTGTTATGCTTGACATGGGAAGTTAGGAAAGATCTTAACCAAGGATGTGATATTTTATCTGGGGTAAGAAGAATGAATGTACTGGGAAGGTGATTGGGATGGTCTTAAGGGGTTGGAGCTCAGGAGAGGGTAGGTGGGAAACTAATTTGGGGAATTGTCAGGGAATAGAGCCCATTTAAAAATCAAGTCAGGGAAAGCATATTGAATGAGGACAGGAGAGATTCCAGAGTGCAGCCTAGGGAAATAACTATCTTAAGCGGGCAGAAAAGGAAGGGAGCCAAGCAGAGAGAGGGAAGAAGAGAAAGCAGAGAAAATAGCTGGAAAACTAGGAAAGGGAAGAGAGTTTTGAGAAAAGGAGTGGCCAGTAGTGGCAAATGCTAGATAGAGAGTGGTCAATTAAGTTGAGCTGGGGAAAGGTAAGGTTGTACTAGACCTGAGCTGTCCAATAGGGCAACTATTTATGGCAAATTTACATTTAAAGTGATTAAGTTAAATATTTAATCTCTCAGTCTCACTTGCTACATTTCAACAATTTAATAGCTATATGTAGCTATATCTATTGATTAGCATAGATATACCAGCAGAATATTTTCATCATTGCAGAAAGTTCTATTTGACAGAACTGTACTAGACCATTATAATACCAGGAAAAAGTTAAATAACAGTTTAATTTTTTATGATAGCAACAGAGAAAATACTATAAGATAACTATGAATTGTAAAAACAAACAAGTTGATATTTTAAGGCCAGAGTTGGGGAAAGATAACTTTAGCTTGAAGTTTGGTAGCAGAATTGGCTATTTGAGTTGAGCCTTCAGGGTCAGAGAACTTTCGAGCTATTGAGCAGGGAAGCAAAAAGAAAACAGGTACAAAATTGCAGATCACTCCGAGCAATCAATTTTCCTAGATAGAATTTACATAAGTGGAGCTGTGGAGTGCAAGGCTATTTCATAGGAGATCAAAACATTTCTGTGGAGTGAATAATTGTAGAAAATTTAAATATCGGTGTTTGGAGCTTATTTTCTAAGTAATGGGTGCTATCGATGTTTTTAAGTTAAAGAGGAGCAACATGGCTAAAGTCATAGTTGGTAAATTAATCATTCCCTTCTCCATCCGTAGTCTTTGTCATTTGTTTTACTACTAAGTAATTTTGCCTTACGTCTATATATTGCTTTAAAAAAAAAATCTATAAAGCAGCCCTAGCCAGATTGGTTCAATGGATTGAGTGTCAGCCCATGGACTGAAGGGTCTTGGGTTTGATTCTGGTCAAGGGCATGAACCTTGGTTGCAGGCTCTATTCCTGGCCCTGGTTGGGCCACGTGCAGGAGGCAACCAATCAATGTGTCTCTCTCACATTGATGTTTCTCTCTCTCTGTCTCTGTCTCTATCCTTCCCTTCCACTCTCTCGAAAATATCAATGGGAAAATATCCTCAGGTGAGGATTAACCAAAAAAAAAAAATCTATAAAGCAAAGTCTGGAAAATTGTAAGTTTTAATAATTATGTATTCATAGAGGAAAAAATTAACTTCACAGAAGTTAAATTACTTGCTAATTATGAGGCTAGCTTCAAGAATGAGTAATTTAGGTAGACTGGAGATAACTTGTCAAATAAATTACTACACAATACATATAGTCTTCAATATATGGTGATTGTCTTGACAGTAGGAAACATGTCTTTATCATGTTTGTGAATTTTAGTACCTAACATAGTAAATGAATGAAGTGAGATTGAATGCAGGAATATCTATTGAAAGGGAGATAGATGCAAAATTTGATAAATGAGATAAGTGGATCTGGCCCTACATTGTATTAATAGAAATTGAAAGAAAGGGCTTGGTGTGAGAAAGACATTGTCTAGGTAAAAATCATCAGAACTTAATGACTTGTTCAGATGTAAGGGAAAAAGAGTTTCAGATGACTAAAGGGTTTAGGAAGATGGTACCATTGAAAAATTAGGCAAATTGATGTGGAATCTTGTTTCTGAGGAAAACTGCTGAGTGCTCTTCGTTACATAATGTTTTGTAAAACAAACTAAAGCCCTTCCTTTGTTAATAAAATTCTATAACAAGAACTTAATTTGCAATAATGTCCGAACATACAGATGGCAATGCTTTGTAATGAAGGTCTGTGAAAAAACAAAGAACATTCCAGAGAGAACTTCTTAGAAGATTGACTAATTTCCTAAAGCCTCAGGATTTTTTTTTTTTTTTAAGGATTTAGTTTCTGGTGTAAGCTTAATATTGCACTCTTTTCTTTCTTTCTTTTCTTTGCTTTTCTCTCTCTCTCTCTCTCTCTCTCTCTCTCTCTCTTTCTTTCTTCTTTCTTTTTTTGCTACTTAAAGATTAATGCACCTCTTAATTCATTTACTCAACTGTGGGTGCTGTCTAGATTCAGATTCTGGTGTATGAGATTAAATCACTCCTGAGAAAATTTGTTTCTTTTTTAGATCTTGCCATATTCAGAAGTTGCTGAAGGTGAAGAGACAGTGAGTAATATATATGGTGTTATTTTTTTGAAATGTTAACATTTTAATATTTTTTTTTAGGATTTCAAGTTGGATTCTTAAAATATATTTTTATTGGATTTAATCATAGATTATTTTGTCATTCTAAGAAGTAGCTAATGTAGCCTAAAAAGATTAGTTTAAAAAGTGTTTTTATTTTTTTCAAAATGTAAATAGGCATAATCATTTTTACTGTAAGAATAATACATAGTACTGTGGCATAGTTAAACAATATAAAATATAATAAAATTCTACCTTATAAAGCTAACCACTGTTAATATTTTGGTGACATATTTCCTGTGTGTTCATATGTGTATATCTTACATATGAAATTTTAGAGAAGTGGAGTCATATCATACATACTTTTTTATAAAGTACTTTTAAAAGCCAATATATAATGGATGTTTTTTAGTCAGTGAAAAAAACCTTTAATGACTAATGATAGTATTTTATTGTATGACTATATTTTTAATTTATACCTTGTTTTAAATAGGTTAGATGACTGTAAATGATATTGTGAGATATATATATATATATATA